TTGGGTTTTAAAATAGAGGAGGCACACTAATTGTATTGGTCTGGGATCCCTGCCGATTATTATTATTATTATTTGCTTAACCACTTTAGAATGGTTTTTTGGTTGCTTTTAGTCAGAAAACGTAAAGAAAACAATATACATACAGCAAGATAATATAATTTCACTTACCTGGCCTATCACTTGAAGCAAACATCCATCCCTTCTTAAAAGTCTGTGTTAAAAGAGAGCTGCTTGTTGCACCATTTAATTAACGTGATTGGCTCATTTTTTTTACCAACGGACTCCGCGCTCCCCTGGCCTCCCCCTACCCTTCTCTATCATTAGCGTTTGTAATTACATCAGCAGATTTGGCATATTCACGATAGAAAAGCGGCGCTTTCACTTTATGGTATTACAACTGTGAAATTACAAAAAAAAAATACACATTCTGAGACATGAACTGAAATGAATTGTGAATTTTATTAACATTAAATCGTCCTCCTCCCAGTTTCACCTTAAAATTATGGGGAGGCCGTGCCTCCCCTGCCTCCGCCGACGAGCCGCCACTGCATTCATCAACCCTCTTAACACAATAAGAAGAATAATATACTATTATTTACATGGTGAATTAAAGTATATGCAAATTCAAATCATAAAACTTTATTCAGATATATAATAATATGTGCCACATATGTGCCAATATCATAATGTGCACTTTGTCATGTGTAATACACGTTGAGGATATCATCCGTCTGATGTTCATCTGATGTTCGCTACTGTTATGAATATGATGCATAACTTTTTAATACACAAGGGGAATTCCCATTATTAAAAAAAAAAAAATGTACATGCATAGGATGTTTGCGTTGTTAGAATGTACAGGAGTACTTCAGATATAAAACGAGTATCGGTACCGAACGGTTCACGGGGCAAATTCCAAATGGAAGTGATCATCCCTAGCCCCTTGGAGTGGGGACTTTGGAGTAAGAAGGGGGTGTGCCATTATGTAGTCATTTGGAATGCACTTGGCAAAGGGAGCGACGTAATTTCCTCATTATCTTCAGCTGGCATGTTCCCGTGACAACGCAGTACGGTGTCCGTCAGCAGATTCGCTGATTGACACCGGCATAAAAAAAATATAAATACATTTTATGTTTTAAAAAGTTTTATATATATTAGTTTTTATATATTATATAGCATATTTTAAAAACTTTTTAAAATATAAATTGTATGTTTATTTGCAACAGTTATGCTAACAACAATAAAAAGACATTTATGACCGTAAAACAGCGACATCTGCTGACGGACATCGTGCTGCGTTGTCACGGGAACATGCCAGCTGAAGATGAGGAAATTACGTTGCTCCCTTTGCCAAGTGCATTCCAAATGACTACATAATGGCACACACGTGCCCTGCTCACTCCAAAGTCCCCACTCCAAGGGGATAGGGATGATCACTTCCATTTGGAATTTGCCCCGTGAACC